TGCTGCACCAGCGCGGGGTGCGTGTGCGCGTCATCACCGACTGCGACTACATGGCCCTCAACGGCTCGCAGATCGGCCTGCTGCGCAAGGCAGGTGAGTGGTCTGCGGCCGGTGCGGGCTCCTCCTCCCGTAACCATTTGCCTTCTGGTGAGGTCTGTGTGCTGAAGACGCAGTGGAGACCTTGGGCAGGTCCGGGTGGGGAGGTCCTCTGAGTCATGAATATCCAACTGAGAAAAGTTTGGAAGGCGTGAGAATGGAGGGAGTGGGTGGCCGGGATCGCAGCCCAGGGGCCAGGACCTTAACAACCCAGTGAGGCTCTGGGAGGCCCAGGAGGCAAGCACACATGCAGTCACTCACAGCTGAATGTCACACAGGAATCGCTAGAGGCCCTCTGCGGCTCCAGGTGGGAAGTGGTGGTCGTGGTGAATGTGTGGGAACCCAGTGTCGTGGGGGCAGAGTGACCCGCGGAGTTGAGGGGCAGAAGATGGGGCAGGACCAGCGGGATCTCCAAAAAGTTTCGAGTTCAGATATGTTTTGAAGGTCGAGCTGACAGGATTTGCTGGTGGGTTGGCCCCAGAGTTGAAGGAAAGGTGTTGTTGGATAGAATCTCCAGTGATAAGGAAGTCACCACTTTGCAAGGTACAAGTGGGAGAGATGACATGGGTTGTTGCTTTGTAAGTTAAATTTGAATTTCACATGCAGTAATATGTAGTATGTGTTGTAAATAGGGACCTTCCAGACATGCTTTGTCTAGCTCAAATTAACTTGGACATTCCTTTTTTTTTTTTTTTTTTTGTAAAATCAAATTCCATAAAAGCATAAATTCCGTAAATTTTCTTATGTCCATTTCTGGTGGTCTCTGTTGGTGGGCAGGTGAGGCTGGCCTGAGGTGGCATCCCGGAGATAGGGCCTCTGCCCTTGGGACTGATGTTTAGGGGAAGAGGTGGTCGAATGCAGGAGAGCTCTTCAGCTTCTGCTTCTGAATGCCAGTGCCACCCTTGGACATTTTGGTAGTTAGCCATGTGATGTGAGGCTCTGCCCCCTCATCTCTGCCTAGACCTTTCTTTCCTTCCTTTTCCTAAAATGGCCATGGGAAGTTCAGAGTGGAAAGGCAAGGAGATGCTGCCACACTCTGCTAGGCATACATGGCTTGGAGTGTGCCATCAAGTAACGTCCTGGTTGGTTTAAACCCCAGTCCTGCGTGGAGCTGGCTTGAGATGGGCTGATGTGTGGAATAATGTCTAGGGTGGTATTGCCCAGGGTCCCTCTGTCCATCCCATGAGGACCACCTGCATCTCTGTGGCTGGCTAGTGTTGTGGCATGTGCCATCCTGCTGACCAGAAACATTAGCAGCATCAGATACTCCTGAGAATGAGTGCATGCCATACATGGCAGGCTAGTGAAAACTGCCTTGGCCCCACAGGTATTCAGGTGCGGCATGACCAGGATCTTGGCTACATGCACCACAAGTTTGCCATTGTGGACAAGAAGGTGCTTATCACTGGCTCCCTCAACTGGACCACGCAGGCCATCCAGAACAACAGAGAGAATGTGCTGATCATGGAGGACTCGGAGTATGTGCGGCTGTTCCTGGAGGAGTTTGAGCGCATCTGGGAAGAGTTCAATCCTGCAAAGTACAGCTTCTTCCCGCAGAAGAAACAAATCTGCTGAAGCTGCCCTTCTCTGCCTTCAGAGCCTCAGAAGCACAGCCTCCAGTGACACCAGCCACCCTCAGAGAATAGTTCTGGGGACTGCATGGGGCTCCTGGGGGTGGCTGAGCTGTGGAGAGGCCAGGGTGCTATAAAGCCTGTGAGCTGGGTTGCAGTGGTGCACACCTGTAATCCCAGCTACTCAGGAAGCTAAAGCAGAGGACTCAAAAGTTTGAGGCCAGCCTCAGCAGCTCAGCAAGACCCTCGGAAGGGCTGGAGGCTCAATGTGCAGTGCACCTAGCATGCATGGGCCCCTGAATTCCAGCAAGGGGAAAAAAAGTAATGTTGTACACTTAGAAGTGACCTCACTTCTAACACCTGGACATGGTAGACTCCTTTTTTGGCTCATGTAATGGATGAGTTCCCTGATCACGTGAGAAGCACGTTCAAGGTGAGGCAAGTCCCTTCTAGCTCTGGCATCCTTCACAGGTAGTTAGGGGAACAGGTATCTTTCATGTATTTGAGTTTAAAGTTTTTTTTATAATGTGTATGCTATATACAGGTAACTCAAATGACTTCTGAAGCTACAGTCTTGGTGACTGTCCAGTCTTAGCAAATGGGAGTGTTTTTCCTTTCCAATGTTAATTGTGACTTAATAGTTGGGCGTGAAACCTGAATTTCAGTTTTTGAAAAATGAGTATATCCAGAAGTGGTTACCTTGTGTTCTTTCCCAAACCTCCGAGTGTGTATTCTGGAAGGATGGAGTGAAATCACATAGTATGATACAGTGGTGGGACCCTGGGTTTCTGGCATGTTGGAATAAATATGTTCGTTCTAGACTATGAATGTTGTGTGTTGACTTTGTGTACTGCATTCAAACAGTGGCTGCTCTTTGTTAAAACTTTTCTGGTAGGGATATACAGCTAGTTACACTCTTAAAATGCGTTACTTGTATCCCAGCTGAATTGAGTACTTTTAAAATATCCCAGCTTCTTGTGGTAATCTAGATCTATAAGGCAGAAGCACAATTTCCAGTCATTTTCTCTCTCACCTGCCTGAGTTGGGGTGTTCATGTGTGGGGGGAATTTACATCCTTGTTGAAAACTAGAGGGCCTAGTTCTGTGTCTATCCTAATGCCAGTACCATACTGTCTTAAGCTTTGTAGTGAACCTGGTAGCATGCGTCTTTGTTCTTTTTTTTCAAACAGTGAATGGTATGTTCTCGGTCCCTTGTGCTTCTATATTGAGACTGACTAATCAATTAAAAACATTATGTGGGGGCTGGTGAGATGGCTCAGTGGTCTAAAGCACCTACTTAGAACAAGCTTAACAAAGCACAGCGACTGCGGTTCGATCCCCCAGCACCACATGCCGGCCTGCCCCGCCCCCTGGTGGGCTGAGCTGGCCACACACACACACACACACACATAAATAAATAAATGTTTAAAAAAAAAAAAAACATTATGTGGTACAGGGTCTCGCTACAGTTCAGACTCATAGTAATCTTCCTGTCTCAGACTCCCCAGCACTGGAATTGCAGGTGTGCACCACCACACCCAGTTTTGGGGCCAGCATGGCATGTGGTACCAGGGATTGACTGGTCCTTGTGCTTGCCAGGCAGGCACTTAGACTGCTGAGCCATCTCCCCAGCTCCTGATCAGTTTTTTTTTTTGTTTGTTTGTTTTTTTTTGTTTTGTTTTTGTCATTTTAACATGGGGTCTTGATACACAGTTCAGGCTGGCCTTGGGCTCACTTTGTAGTACATGGTGGTTTTGAACTCCCAATAATCCTTCTGCCTCAACCTCCTGAGTTCGGGGAGGGTTACAGGAATGTGCCACCATCCCTGGCTCGACTGACCAGTTTCTAAAAGGGAAAAGGCAGCTGGGATTGTGAGAATAATGCTGTTTTAAGCCTTCTAATCCATTTAACACATGAGATGTCTTCCCATTTAAATCTTTAGGCTGGGTGTGGTGACACTGGCTTGTAACCCCAGCACTTGGGAGGCTGAAACTGGAGGATCACCACAGATTTGAGGTCACGCTGGGCTACACAGCAAGTCCAAGGCCAGCCTGAACTACATATAGCAAGATCCTGTCTCAAAAGACCCAACCCAAACCAAACCCTTTTAATTTCCAATGTTTGCAGTATACAAATCTTTAATTTTTTTTTAATATTATAAAGTTGCTCAATTTCAGCTTCACATTGTTCATGACTAGTGTGTAGAAATAACAGATGTTTATTAGCATATGCTTGCAATACAGATTTACATTCAGTTTGGGTAACTGGTACATATATACATCACATCTTATTTTTATTGTCCCTTTCCCTCCCCTGCCCTGTCAACTGATTTTTTTGGTACTGGGGATTGAACTCAGGACCTTGCGCTTGCCAGGCAGAAACTTACACCTCTGAGCCATTTCCCTGGCTCTCACAACTAATTTTTAAATACTATGTTGTGTTCTGCAAACCTGCTGAACTTGTTTCATTGGACTCCTTATAATTTCCCATATACAGGATTTCATTTCCCAGAAGTTTTACTTCTTTTCATTCTGTTCGGGATCCTTTTAGTATCATTCTGTTGCCTAACTACTCTGGCTGTACTCTTCCATTCAGTGTAGAACTAAAAATCAGAACTAAAATATCCTGATGTCCTGATTTTTAGAGGAAGCATCAGTTTTCATGACATGAGCTAGGGGCTTTCACAAATAGTTCTCAGCATGCTGAGGAAGTTCAGTTCTATTCTTCGTTGTTTTAGTGTTTTTTTTTTTTTTTTTTAAAGCTAGTTTGCAAGTGCCAGCTGATTTTAAATTGCACCTACGTAGCTTAAAAAAAAAAAAAAAAAAGCCTGTGGCCACTTGGGAGGCAGAGGCAAGTGGATGGCAAGTTTGAGTACAGACTGCAACACAGACCCTATCTGAAAATTAAAAGGGCTGGAATGTAGCTCAGTGCTCCCTGGGTTCAATCCCCAGAAACATGTAACATGCACACACACAAACTACACAACACTGTTAACCAAGCCAGTCCAAAAACTGTTGTGTATATTTGACAATTTTTAAATGGATAAAACATTATTGAAAGATCTAGAACACACTAAAAATATTTATGTCTGTATTTTTCATTTTGATTTTTTTTTTTTTTTTTTTTTTTTGTATTTTAGGGAAAGGTCTACAGGGTGTTCAGGGTCTCACTGCTAGGTCAGACTCATAGTGATCTGCCTGTTTACAGCCTCCCAAGAGCTGGGATCACAGGTGTAGGCCAACATGCCCAGTCGCAATTGCTGTCTCAGCACGCCCCAGGGGCGGGGCCAGCACAGCAGACCCAGGGATTGAACCCCTAGCCCCTGCTTACAGGTGCTTTAATATGCTGAGCTATTTGGCCGACCCATTTTGATGAGTTTAACTCCTTAAACTGACTTCTAATTAGTAGAAATTCTTCTGTAATTTTTGACTAAAATTTGGATCCTCAGTCATTTTCACACTTTATTGTAAAGACTATGACAATACTGAAAGAAATTGTTTCAAATTTATCCAACCAAAAGATTTTTTAAAATGAAACTGAACAGAAATACCAGAGTACATCATTCTAAAGGAAGATTTAAGTTTAGGGCAGTAGTTATACGTGGTCTGGGTCAAATGCATTTCTCTTTTAAACAAAACAGATAATCCATTAAACTGGTGTGGTGGGGCAAGCCTTTAATCCCAGCACTTGGGTGGCCAAGGCAGGAAGATCACTGGCAAGTTTGAGGGCAGCCTGGACTGTATAGTGAGACCTTGTCTCAGTTAAAACCAACCAACCAACCAATCACTAAGTGGAGCAGAATAGTCATAGTACCTTCATTAATAAAGGCATCTCATCTACATTTTTTTAAATTGTTGTTAGCCTCCAAAGACTTTTTTAACTAAGGAAATGTACCCCAATTACATTTTTGGATATAAAATATTTTTGTGATGTGTATAAACATGTAAAATCTGGATTTTTATAGGAAATCTCCCAATGTAAAAATGCTTAAAATTAAGTCCAAAACTTTGAAAAACAGTTAAAAAATAACACAAAAGACTAGCCCAGTCTGTATTGCTAGATGGCTGCCTATTTGACTTATGACCTAAACACATATTTTGCACATAACCTCTTCATGAATCAACACTTTGTTACACAGCATGCAAAGGAGGATGCAAAAATAGTTTATTGTGATGTAGTTCATGTAAAGTCTGATAATATTTACAGAATAAAAATGGTCAGCTACATCCATGGGCATCTAGCATGTCACACAAATTTTTGACAAAGTTAACACTTCAACTGTAATGAACAGTTGATCACAAACGTAAGAAAAAAGTGCCTCAATCTGAATCATGAAATCGAGCTGTGTATCTGGTGAGGTGCTTGCTCTAAGGGCTGCCTGGTGGAAGCTGACTGCTGTGGGTCATGGGGTCCAGCGGCCTCTCCAACCTCAGACCTGAGCTGACCCCAGAGAAGCCATACACATGATCTGCCTGGTTCTTCAGACCTCAGGTTTCTACTGCACACACTTCTGAGTCTGGTGAGCATGATCATTTAGCATTACAGCAGAATAAAAGTTGAAACGACACATGCCTGTTTTTGAATGTCATGTGATGGAAGTTAGATTAGCTATGGTAGAAGTGGTTCTCTGGATTCTTCCCAGCTTTGTTGCAGCAGACAAAAATCATCTATATGCCTTACTGTGTTCATGGATCAGCTCCCCACGCAGTCTGGCAAAATGTTTTGTCTTTTGACAGCTGAACTACGACATAGTGACCCTGTTAGAAGGAGGGTATATCTGTGAGAAAGGTTACTGAGAATTCTACTTGTTGAGGAGCCACTTGTATTCTCTATGTTTCATAAATATTACCTTAGGAAAACCACATGAATTATTTGTCTTGACTCCTAACATTATATCAGTAAATCTGTCATACTAAAGATAAATCCTAAATCCTTTTAAATTCATTTTATTTGAAGTTTTGTGATAAAATAATGAATTTAGTGTTCTTTATCATCTATCTTAGCTAAAATAAAATGTGGTAACTAACTTCTAAAGGGACAAAGAGCCTGGCAGGCTGCAGGGGGCTGTCTAATGGCAGATACCTTTCCTCAAACTTTTTTTTTTTTTTTTTTTTTTTTTTTTGTGGAACCGGGGATTGAACTCAGGCCCTTGCACTTGCCAAGGAAGCACTTATTCCACTGAGCCATCTCCCCGGCCCCTCAAACTTTTCTTGATGGTGAATGTGAAGTACATGCTCTACCGCAGAAGTTGCAACCTCAGCTCACTGCTGCAAACTATAGAACTCAGCAGTGTCCTCTAGGTCATCCTGAAGTACTGGATTGTCCAAGCCTTAACTTTTCTGTGACTAAATACCTTCTCACTGCATGCATAGAAACATATTGCTAAGATGCATTTCAAGCTTGGGGATCTCTGTGGAGTAACACAATATAGTCAAACAGCTCTGAAGACGGCCCCAAACTGCCAAAAGCTGTAGAAACCAAGGATTTGGACCTGACAGAAAATTGTGACTTCAGCCACACCTGCCCACAATGAAAGGCCTGGAATTATTGTGCAGAACAGACTAATGAAGACATAGCTATCATTTTCCTGCTTGATTCTGAATGGTTCCACCATGAAATGATTATACTTCCAATGCAAAGCTATGGATGGGGAACTGCTGTTTTATATAATATACATTCTTTAAAATTATGTTATGTGACCAAGGCTTTTAAAAAGATACAACAGTCATTAGAAACATGTATGTACTTAGGATACTGGGTAGAGTTCCAGTGTGTACCCAAGGATGTCCTCCCATATAAGTTTTAAAAAAACCCATGAAACTTCTTCATAAAAGTAGTCACTTGTAATATTTACATCACTTGCTCTGAATAATATACAGGAATTCTGTAGAAATTAAAGACAGCAGCCACATTGTTTTGAGCTCCTGAGGACCTGACCCTCAGTGGGCTCTGATAGCCAGCAGTTTGTCCTGGCTCTGGGCCACTAAAGGTTTGTCACTGACTCCCTTGTTCTGGTGGGAAGGAACTGAGAAGGCAGACATTCTCCCTTTGCAAAGAAACACACCTGAGACTCCTAGAAGGTGCAAAGGGGTGGGTGGTGTCTTTTCCGCAGGACAAGGGGAGGTCTGGATGCTTTCCTGTGTAGATTTGTCCCTTTTCTGAAGAGCCTGTAGCCAGCAGTGTTATTGTGCCTCCCATTCACCTGGTTCTTCCTGTGTTCAGCTGTGCAAAGTATTGCTTGCTAGAAGGTGCACAGTGGTCCCCACTGGATGAGGACATACAGGAATGGGTACAGTGAACACTGTACCCCCTTCCTGCCATCAGGCTGCATGGGGCCTGGGGTTGCTCATTTAGCCCTGCTACTTGGGAACCAGAGGATATTTGAAAACCAGAGAGAGCCTGCTTGTTGGTGTGGTAGACACACTGTTGGGACCACTGCCCATTCTACCTGGGTGGCCCTGCTCCAGGGCCAACAGATTCAGCAGGCCATGTGCTACCCAGCTAAGCCCCTTGGGGCCAGGCATTAGTGATGGAAAAGATCTTGGTTCAATTCCCAGCACACTTTTCTGTGTACCTGTGTGGAGAGCTGAACAGCAGTATAGACATTCCTTAATGGCTTGCAAGCCAACAATTTTGCTTCCTGGTCCTTTCAGGATTCCTTCTGGTCATGCTTTGAGGTTTACAGCTGTCTTTTTTTTTTTTTTTTTTTTTGAACCCCGGGTTTTTTTTTTTTTTTTTTTTTTTGTGGAACCAGGGATTGAACTCAGGCCCCTGCACTCGCCAGGGAAGCACTTATTCCACTGAGCCATCTCCCCAGCCCATGCAACTATATTCTTTAAAAAAACTAAAGTTCCTTTCACTGAGTCTGGCCTGCAGGAGCTGTTGGTCAGTGAATGAGTCATTGGATTCAAGGCCACTGCACAGATTCTTGCTGTGTTGCTGCTTCTTGCCCAGTATGTGGGCCTTTATCTGCTGCTCTTCTGCCTTTATGTTTGCTGAATCTGAAAGAGCACCTACTCTGACTTTAGCATTTACTTGATAAACTTTCATGTTCCCGACTCACTTCCTACTTCCCAGGATATCAGCTATTTCATCTAAGCCCAGGACCTTCTAGACTCCCTCTAGCCAGCTTTGGGCTCTAGCGCACCTGATACACAAACATACCTGGGAGGCTGCAGGTGGTGCCCTCCACCGTGCCTGTGGCCAACTGCTTAAGTGCTGGATACCTCTCATGCTGACAACCTGACTAGTAGAACAAGCCACCAGCCTGTGGGTGTGCAGACAATGCCAAAGTGGTTTCCTTTTTAATCTTTTGTCTGGCTTGCTTGCATGTACTGACAGGGTATAAAATGAGTATTTATAGAAAAATAATCAAAACTGTATAGCATACCCATTTTAACATCTTTCTCACTGTGAAGTGAGGAAAGCTTGCCACTGCTTGTTGTTTGGCCCTGTGCACAGATCTTGCCAACTGTATCTGCCCCACAAAGGATCTTAATCTACTAGTGCACAAACCAGCTTCTCTTCCTGTTTTCTCTTCTTTATGCGATGCATGTGCCTGTGCCTGTGGTAGTGTGGCCACCAGGCAGCTGCTGTTCCTGGAATTACATCTGATGCACAAGAAAAAATTTTTTCATTCTCTTTCTTGTCTGGTTCACTCTGGCTAAAGAACAGAACCCAACAGCACAAAGTGCAGACTCATCTCAACCCAAACAATGGCTACTTCACTGACTTTGCTCATAACTGCCTGGTAGGTGCAGATGACACTAGGAAGGTGCAGTAGAGTGGCCCCCAAATCAGCCAACCCCATGTTCACGGTCTGTTTTTTTGGTGACACACATACCCCCAAAACCAGCTATAGGGAAGGCAGTCCTGGTGTCTCCTGTAAAATATGGGGCCTTCACCAAAAAGCCATAGTGACGAGAGAAGTACAGGTGTCCACTCACCTGTCTCTCTGGTCCTTCCCTTTCACCTCCAAATGTTGTACTTAACATGTCATTTCCTAGGAGTTCTGAGGTCCAGCCTCAAGGGACAGAAAAATGATAAAGAAAAACAAATGAAATGCTTTTGCCCTGTAGGCCAACCTGCTTTTATTCAAAGCACTGTGCATTCTGAAGGCAGATGAAGCTCATCTCCTATAGCACCTGGGAGGGAAGCAGGGCCCAAGGATCCCTAGGGCTTTAGGGATGGTCACAGAGAAACCATGCTAGAGAAGGAAATGCAGTGCTCCTCAGGGAACAAGGTGAACTCTTACTACCTGTGGATCAGGCACAGTGTGCCCCTTCAGTGTCCAGGGAACAGCGTGCCTGCATATTCCACTGAGCACAACACAGAAAGGTCATGGCCATTTCTCAAAATGCTGCCAATCTGCATGGGGGATGTGTCTGAAAAACAGATTTTTAAAACATTAAATTTGTTCTTGCTATTAAGAACACAGAACAGTAGCAAAGGAGCAGCAGTATGAGTGAAGACTCAAAAGCTCACAACAAGGGCAGCTTAGAGCCTGTGCAGGGCCAAGGACATCCAAGGAAGGGCGCACTAGGCAAGCTGCAAACCAGCCACTCCTGTTCATTCACTGGGGTGGGTGAGACAGCCTGATGACTTTGCCCATTAACTAAAAGCTGAGCAAAGGGTTTTCTACTTTTTTATTCCCAAAGCATCCACGTATCCAAAGGCCATTCAACCAACTCAAGAATTAGCACAAAGCGGAAGCTTTGCAGTGGAGCCAGTGGACCTGAAGGTGGGGTCCTCCAAGCATGCACTTCTGACTCCCCAGCTCAGTCTTGCATAGCAGAAACTCTCTTAATTTGCCAATCTTAATGAAACAAATAGTTTTTACAGGACTAGAATACAGATCCCAATGCGAAAGATTTTCAGGATGTGCTGAAGAACATTATGGGGCAATACAAAGTAAGTCTTAGGTTATTAGAAAAGCAAACTTCTTTGTGCAGGTTCACTTCAACTAGGTCTGCTGGAGGTACTTGCTCCACTGGAACTTTCCAGAGCTCAGATTGATCACGGTTCTAAGCACGTACTGCTGGCTGTTCTCCCCAGGGTCCGACATCCTCTGGACTTCCACTTGACTTAACAGAGGGGCCTGCTCTCAGCTTTTTCAAAGCCACATGACAATTTCTTTTTAGAAAGATTTTAAAAAACAAGCACCTTTTCCCCTTTGAAGGACTACCTCAGGGAATCCATCCTTTTTTGCAATCAGTCTGAAGCCCCAGGCAGCAGGTTTTCAATCCTAGCAGTGAGAACAGGATTAGGCTGCTGCAGAACAGGGAGGCACGAGCGGAGGAAGGAATGAGAGGGATCTGGGGTTTTGTGCAAGATTTAATAAAAAACAAACAAAAATAGGAATGGTTGCTTTCCACATTTTCCAGGTTGTGAAAGTTAGCCAGGATTATGTAGGGCGTGATTCTAAGCTGCATTAGTGGAGCAAATACAAAATGCTGTCCTCCTCCCAGGTCAAAAGGCAGGGCACATGGGCTGTACACCCATCTGGGTTGCTGTCTCCTCTAGCAACCAGGTAAATCACCTGCATGTGGAACAGGTCAAACCAGGACATCAAGCTGGCTCTTCTCTGACCTTGTGCCCACCTGGTGGTGCTCAGTTATGAACAACAGAGCTGGAGCATGGGCCAGATCTCCACACTGCACTCTGCGACAGGGCTAGCTTATTGACAGGCTGCTGAGCCTTAATACTGACAGTGAGTGCGGTGGACACTGAGAAGGGCTCTACTCAGACGTGGGTGGGTGCTATACCACCTCACTGCTGAAGCTTGACCAATCTCAGAATACCATGGAAAGAAAGTGGTGATAAACACAACAGGAAGTTGGACTGGTGCGGACAACCCACACACCAGTCTTTCATGTATCCATACCCATAGTTAATGACAAAATGATAAAAATAAAGGTACAGACAAAAAGCCGTGCTCAGGTGCTGTCACCAGCCAGGAATGGTGTGTTCAGTGGCACAGGATACAGCTAGTCTTTCTTCAAGTCCCTGGATTCAAATAGCTTTAGCCGTTCCTGCACTGTCAGGCCTTCCTTCAGACTCTGGGCAAAGGAAAGAAAGAATGGTTAGATCCAGCAGGGCAGGCTTAGGCTTCCATCAGAAGGTAAAGGTGGAGGCAGAGGTGGAGGCAGGGTGAAGGAGGGTAGGCTCCGGAGATTAGTGGGCATGCTAGGACAAGAAACACTCTGTGAAATGGTGTTATTGGAATATGATTCCCCCTGAAGGAACTCACTTGGATGAAATGGGAAAAAATTAAGAGAAACAAGATCACATGTTTTAAGTAGCTCAATTCTACGTTTGGCCCTTTAGACAATTGGAGATCAGACTGACCCAGCCAGGAAACAAAGTCCTAAGAGCTAGATGCCTACCCAGCTACGTCTCGCTTCCTACCTATGATTTGTGAATACCTGGTCCCTTTGAGTTTATGAATCCAAATGACTTCAGAACGAGTGCACTGGGGCTGGGGAGATGGCTCAATAGAATAAGTGCTTGCCTGGCAAGCACAAGGACTTGAGTTCAATTCCTCGTTCCGCAAAAAATAAAAAAAAAGAAAAGAAAAAAAGAACAGTGCTGTGAGCACCCTTTAGATGTTTCACAGATGGAAGCCTATAAGATGGCTGGATGGTGGGGGCCTAGGAACATACTGGTGTAGGGCCAATACGCTGCTCACATCCAAGATAATGAACATTTTACTGACTGGGGGTCAGGATCCTTCCTACTTGACACTTAAAAGAGACTTTGCCCAAAGGCTTGTCTGGAAAAGAAAAGCAGCACTGCTTCCAGAGAACAGGTGGAAATGCGGAGATTCTGGCCATTTCCTGGCCAATGCAGGTTTCTCAGCTGCAGTGGGTGTTAGCACTGGGTTGGCCTGGAGACTTAGTGGGGCTCACTTACATCAGAGCTGACAGGTACAGGTTTTACCAGGAAACAGGAGACCTCAAGTATGGCCTGTGGCTCTGCATCCACACAAGTGTTATCAGTTTTAGCCACAGTTCTGAGCAGTGTGAAGTGTCCCCTGTGCTCCACACACTGGGACCTGCAATGAGGGGCCCAATGCTTCCCGAGGTCTAGGGATAGCTCTACACAGTACCACATAGCACGGAATGTCTGCTGTGTCCTTAGGGTCCCCTGCCTGAGCCCACGTGTCCAGCAGCAGCCACCGCCTCTGGGCTCCTCCAAGGTGCCAGGCAGACGTCTAGTCACCACCAGGCAAGGGCTCTGAATACAGCGCCTCTGCAGGGCAGCTGGGCATCCAGCTCTGCCACACCTGCTCCTCTCTACCTGGGAACATCCTTCTAGGACTGCAGCATTCCAGCTGCTCCTGAGACCCGTGCAAACAGTGGGTGTCCAAGATTCTGGGATTACCCCTGTGTGTACCATAAAGGAGACTCCATGTGACAGAGCCAGGCTGCAACAGGTCCTGCCTGGCCCATAGCGTACCCTGCCTTCCACCCTGCAGAACTGGACTGAGGGGCTCAGGTGATACCATGCTTACCCAGATGAAAGGGCAGGCAGCAGGCAAGGCGCCTGTGTTCCCTTTCCCCTGGGAAGGGCTATTTCTCCTTCTAAAGACTCTTCTGTCTCCTTTCCTGGTCGTGGCTCAGCCTGAAGACAGGGCCACAGACCATTCCATATGGGGCCTGGGTGCAGCCAGCTGCTTTGGGGGTGTGCCCCCTTCCCTAGCCACTTAGCTCTCTTAAGAGTCCTATGGGGAGAATGCTCTGCTTTTCTGATCCCTGAAAAGGTTGTGCTGTTTGCTGTATGAAGCAGAAAATAAAAACAACAGACATGAACACCACTAATTCCTACATAGCAGAGGACTGTCAACAAGCAGTGATGAGAGGTTTAGTTTCTAGCCAACATCATGTCTTCTCAAGGGGTTGGAGAGGCTCCAAATGCACTTAAGAGAGACACAGTGACATACCTTGCTGAAAATCAGCTCTAGTTCTCTCCCACTGCAGTACTGCAGTGTCCCTAAAGATGCCTTTGAAGCCACCTTTCTGTTGGGGCCCGCAGGACTGCTCTGCACACTGAGGGCTCTTCTTATACCAGGACCTGGTCATCCCAGATAACTGAGGAAACACTTTGATGAAGACCCCTAGGTCTCCTTCCTTTCCTGGTTCTCCCCAAGTCTCCTCACATCCTGCCTTGGCTGTAGCGACTGCCCAGGTAGTGCACAGGCTCCCACCCACTGGCACAACGCACCAATGCCATACCACCACGGGCCCTGGTATTGAGCCCTGTTTGTTTTCATGTCCCCTGGGAACTCACATGAACTGGATACCCCCAGAGGACTGCTTTATTGGGGTCCTGTAGAAACTTTGTCCCTCTCCCCAACTCTTATTTCTAGGCTTAGCACTGCCACATTGATTCAAAGGCTCAACTCATTCAGTGAACTCCAAATCTACTCAGGAAAGGCCTGAAGATAGCTAGAGTTCAGCTTCAGCAAATGGGATCTTCAATTCGAAAATCAAGAGCCAAAAAAGAGCAAGCTTCTTTTTGCTAAACAAAACATTTTTCATGTGTAAGGAAAAAATCCCAAACTATTTTCCCATCCAAGTACTAACCAGGCCTGACCCTACTTAGCTTCCAAGATCAGATGAGACTGGACGCATTCAGGATGGTATGGCCATAGACTCCAAACTATTTTCTATCAAGCCTAAATCATACGTGAGTATATGTGATTTGAGATGAGGGAGAGTAAACAAAATCAAAAGGACTTTGGATTTTCCTCATATTCTACCTAAAGCAAACACCCCAGGCCAACATCTCTGGACTTCCAGGATGGCCTAGAAGGTGGATATGCAGGTACACAGCACAAGGCTATGTTGCAGCCAGCAGGGTCCAAGGCAGGTCAGCATCCCTGACCTATTTCTTCTCTTTACTAGACAGGAGTAGTCAAAGCTGCTGTGCCAGTGACCACACATACTCAAGGAAACTATATAGTCCTCTTCACATTCAAACAAGCAGGTACAACCCCTCTTTTGGCCAGGACAGTGACTCTGCCACGGGATCATGAGACAGGTTTGTGTTGTTTTTTAAGAAGTGCTGGCAAATAATGAGTGGCGTGACTGGGCACGGACCATGATGTGTTGATTAGTTCTTTGGTGCCTGACTCAGAGCCCTGAAGAATAAGGAGGTCTGAGAAGGGCTGTGAGGAACCCATGGCAGCAGGTACCCGTGCCATCTGCAGGGAGGCACATGGGTGGCCTGGCTTGCTAACTAGTGGGTGAGGTTCTTCAGTGAGGTCAGACTTTGCTGGCTTGGGGCAGTGGGTGTCTGTCACCACTATCTCTTTACAGAAGACAAAACATCTGTTTCCCAGAGAGGGTGGCGTGAGCTAATCACTGTGCACAGATCACCCAGCATGCATGCCACCCTGCCTATTCAGGGTTGGCTCTAAGGGCTGCCCTGCCAAGCTGGGACAGTGCCACGGACAAGGGTCAGTTCAAGAGGTTAGAGTGCCAGTCAACTCTCAGGACAGGTTATAGAACCTCACAGGGATTTGCGTGTGCTTGCTAGAGTAGGATGAATTAAAATGAAGTAACAACATAGGCGTGTGCTATGGAGGTGTGAGCAGTACATGCAGAGAGCTACCCCGCATGTGCGGGCAGTGGGCAGTGGAAGAGGCAGTTTACCTACACGACAGGGGACCGGGAAGCGGGCGCGAGTCAGTTATCCCATGAGACCTGCTCAATTACGGACTGTCAGAGGAAAGAGCAAAAATAAGACACATACACAATCAATCCTAAACGCAACATGCTGGCCGCAACCCCTCCGCCCATCCTGCTCATGGAGATGCACACCCGCTCTGGGGAGGCATGGGAGCTGGCCACAGTGCGGCTGGGAAGGCAAGCAGGCGGCATCAGTACTACAACAGGGATGTGCAAGAACACTACAGACAGTGACTGACACAGATGGTCAAGGTAAGGGACCCAATAGGTCTCAGAACCCAGCATGGTGACTGCATGGGTGGACTCGGGATGGGACATGGGGACTCTGCCACTCTGTGTGGTAGGTCTGCTTGGCGTCGATTATCACTACCCCCTCTACTGTCCTGGAGACTCACCTACCAGGGGCCAGACCCAACTCACCTTGGACCTGATATTTCTGAGTTGCCGGGTGACACAGGATCGGTCTTTCTTCAGAAAGTCAGGGTTGCTTTTAGATTTCATTATGTCTGAAGAAACAAAGACCCACTGTATTTGCTTATAAACTCCTCTAGAACAAGACAATGTTAAAAGCTTCTGAACTTTCTACTGTAGCACCTTTGGCTCTAAGGGAACCTAACCAGTAAGCAGAACACAAGGTGGGCCTTTTTCACAGCACTGCAAAGCACCAGGGCTTTGGGAACGTGTGGTCCCTAATGGGACTTGAAGCATTACTTCGCTCACTCTCAGATGGGTGGTGGGTCTCTTGCTCCTGTGCTGGACTTCAGCAGCTGAGCAGAGTAGGGACCCCATTACCTGCTCATTCTCAGCTATTTCTTTTTTTTGTTGTTGTTCCTCGAATGCCTTCAGGGCACTTTTGGCCAGCGGGAGAGTTGTGAGGTTCGAACTCCAGCAACCTGAGGCTGACAGCTTTGTGG